GTTATGGAAGAGCGAGAGTTCCTGACACAGGCAAATAAATTGTCTACTAGGGGCTCTCAAATATTATTGTATCACTCTAGCATAATATTGGTTATAGAAATAAAGTATATTTCATTTTCATATCTGTCACTTCCTTTGCTTTCAAAAAAGAGAGAGTAAACACATGACTTTAAACTTTATCCTGCATAATTTTAGATATCAAAAAAGCCCTTTTAGAATGTTGTTCACAAAATATTGATATTATGTAAGCATGGATCCCAGGACATAGTAGAATTGGTAACAATGAAATTGCTGGCTCTTGGGCCAAAAACGCTACGATTTCGGGTAACCCTTCTCATTTACAAAACTTTGATGATTGATTTGATTGATTATGATTACTCTACAGATGTTCTTCAATTAACTAAAACTGACCTTCAGTCTGAATGGGAGATGAGATGGAGCCGTAAATCCAAAATTATAGGCCACTATTATGGCTGCCTCCAGATAACAATACTGAGAACACCATGGTTCGTCAAATTTCACGCCTTTCTTTCACCCAAATTTTCTCTACTGATTAAATTACCTACACTTTATATATCACTTTAAACCGGTGTTGTCTTACGTGTGTTATGCTTTCTGAAGAACAATGGTAAAAGCTCAAGGAAGAATGGTTATTCAGAAGAAAAATATTAAATATTTATTTGTATAAATACTGAGCAATCTCTCACATATCGTGTCTCTCTCATTACGGGATATTGGCGAAATTTCTGTGTAAAACAGACACAGCCACAGAACAAAAAAAAAAACATTACAGTAATTTGACGGCTCTGAGGTACAGTCTTTAGATTTTTAGACTTGGAAGTAACACAAGAAAATCCTTTTAAATAAAAGTGGTAATTGCGTTGTAGATAGTGTAGAAAAAATATTTTAATTAGAAGTAAGAATCATCAATCAATGTTATATATTTCGTCCATGTTTTATTTTTAATAACTATTTATCATATTATAAACTAAATAATTTACCAAATCTATCTAACAATATAATTTTATTGTACAGGTGACATGGATCAAGAACTGTCTTGATTTTCCTATATGAAGAAGATTTCCAGTATAATTCAGTGTTGTTATATTGGTAACTAAGAATTCTATTTCTATAGAATTAAACGTTAATTAGAAGACAATAGAGTTTCAAAGCTAAAAATATTCCTTCTAATATTATAATTCAAAAGCTATTCTGTTATGCTTTGACTCCTAAACTGTGAATGCTTTTTTGACGACTTCCATGGCCGAGTGCTTTGTACGCCGGGTTTCATGGTGTCGCCGACTCGAGAGGCCCGGGTTGAATCCCGGTGGGGGGAGATGTTTGTGTGATAAATGTGAGCATTTGTACTTCAGTCATGGATATTTAATATGTATTTCTATATAAATATACTTATATATGTACAGTATATGTATTCTATCCGTTACCCTAGCATCCCATACCACAAGCCTTAAGTGGTGTACACATTAAGCGTTTTCCAACGCGCGCTTTGCTAACGCGCGTTTCGAGAACCAGGAGTTCTATTGAAGTGTACACATGCAAGCGCGCGATTCTGGTCAAGCGTGCGTCAAACGCGCGTTCTCATATTTTACGTATGATCGCGCGTTGCGCGGGCGTTAGCTGCGCGCTTCGAGATACTTGGGCCGCCATTTTGTTGTACATTTGATCGCGCGCTTTGGTGTAATGTAGATGTCAGTTCAACGGAAAAATGGACACGAACATTATGACACAGATTTCATTATTGATGAAATCCAAAAGCGACCAGCTATTTAGGACATGAAATGTCCCGATTATAAAAAAAATAAGACGCTAAAAAGACGTAAAATAAAAAAAAATACGCCATTACTTAATCACTTCGGCATCCATTTTCGTACTGCTAGAAACACACCCTACTAAACGCTCGCCGAACGCCCAGCCGAGCGCGGCGTGTGTATGCAATCAATGCGGGCTCAACGCAACGCCGAGCGCCTAATGTGTACCCGTCGTTATAGTGCTTACTTTGGGGCTAGGCTAATTGGTGTGAGTGTTGGAAATATTTATTTATTTATGCTGGCTTCACACTTTTGCAATGGAGATCTGCTAACAAGCATGAATGGGAATCAAAAAAAATCAAAATTTTTGTGGCTTTCACGCAAATTCAATACATACTGATGTGTATTCACGGCGCAAATTCACGCCGTTATTTCATGGCAGTGTTGAGGAGCGACATTAACTGATTTTGACAAATTCTGGTAGGCAGATAAAAAGGCTTTAGAAAAGGATATGTACCACTTTTTACTAAAATAAAATCAGAAGGGGATAGGAAAACAATCATGTTTTTTAATATCCTTCATCATCATCATCATCATCAACCTATGCGCGTCCACTGCTGGACATAGGTATCCCCTAATGCACGCCACTGATCTCGATTTTCTGCCACCCCCATCCAGCCCACTCCAGCCAGCCTACGAATGTCATCATCCCATGTTGTCTCATGGCGTCCTACACTACGTTTACCGAGTCGCGGTCTCCACTCAAGAACTTTACGGCTCCAACAGCCGTCGGTTCTGCGGCTTATGTGACCAGCCCACTGTCACTTCAGTTTGCCAATTCAGTGGGTTATGTCGGTGACTCTGGTTCTTTGTCGGATTACATCATTTCTGACGCGGTCCTTCAGGGATACTCCGAGCATAGCCCTTTCCATAGCTCTGATTTCATAGAAAAAGGGAAGATACGGTAAGCTAATACTAGCATCAAATAAAATATGATCAGACTCAACTACATAAGCAACTCACAAACGCACACGTCTGTATATAAACATTCAATCGAGCGAGCGAGACAGAACTATACGCTTCAACGCAGCGCGAGCGAAACAGAGCCCGTACGGCTGAGCTGTATTGTTGCCCTTTTCTTGATTGATAACAAAATGGCGATTACGTAAATAACATGCAAGACAAACCGTGATTTTTGAGAAAAAAATGTTTTAACAGTTTTTACGAATGAAACGTGTTGGCAAGACATTTGTTATTTGATTTTGAAATAATTGTGTTCTTTATAACACAGAATATACTCAAGCACTTCCTGGTTCACAGTTAAGCGCGGACCGTTGAAAAGTCAAGTTGTTTTATCTTTATAACACAGAATATACGCAATATTGTTATATTGAGTGTACATACAGCGTGTTTGAATGTCTAATTGTTACTAAAGCGAATTGCGGTCATGTGAACCACAATTTAAGCGGATCACTTTTTAAAGAATCATCGGAAAATCAAAAATTTTCACGACTTTGTTGTGCACTACTGTACGTGTTTTCTTATTATTTTTCATGGATCTATCGATGGTAAAAATGCCGTAGAAAAATATATGACCAAAATGTACTCACTCTATCTGTACTTTTGAATTCTCACCTGCACTTAGATGGACAGCTGACCACTGACGACATACTGCTGAATTTTATGTCCTATCTTTGTAAATAGGTCTTCTGATGGTTCAAGTGACCCATAAATTTTTGACACAGGCCTGTAATCTATATGTTTTTAGTATATGTTGTTATAGCGACAACAGAAATACATCACATGTGAAAATTCCAGTTATCTAGTTATCCCCGTACATGAGATACAGCCTGGTGACAGACAGACTGACAGCTGAGTATTAGTAATAGGGTCCCGTTTGTACCCTTTGGGTACTGAGCCCTAAAAACGTTGATTGTAAGAATTTTTCGTAAAACGGAACGACAGTATGTAGAGGTCGTCCTTAGCTCATTGCTCATTCCTGAACGCAACTTAACCGCAAATGTAAACATTGTTGTGGTTGTATGGTTTTTTGCCAGTGCCTTTCCCATTGTGGATAAATTTTACTGATTTTTAGTTGCAATAATTACTCATTAAAAGTTGCTAGAAGCAACGAAAATATATTTTTAAGCACATTTTTTAAGTGGAATAAATGGTACTTTATTTTGAACACAATTAACTTTTTTTCTACCTTTAATTATTCAATGTACTTTATTTATGGACAAAAAAGATGGCAACCCTAATTCCAATATGTAAAGATTAAAACAAAATATTAAAATAAGTATGCAATTTTTATTAATCACTAAATGCAACAAATTAGTTTAGAGAGTTGCTATCATCATACAGTTTGATCTGTGACAGATGTAACAACTTATACAGCTAATTATCAAGTCTTAATATCTAATATAATAAGGCATTTTTCAAAGATAAAACACTCTCTTCCATATAAACTATTTGTCTCTCTTATCAAATATTTATGACAAAAATTTACATGACGACTTGTCTTTTAATGTTAAAATCTGAGATAAATATATTGCTTTATATTTTTTTTGTGCAGCTTTCATGCTAAATATTTTTTTCACAATTAGGTGAGAGAGTCAATGTGCACTTAACAGTGTAATTACAGACCTCCTGATTTAAGACCAGCCCGAGAATAGTCAGTTAGAATGTTATGATTGTTAAACCAAAGCAACAATAAAACTCATTGAAGGCCGCAATTTAGCTGTTTAGTTACATATTTATATTAATAAGTAAAATAATATTACAAAAACCTGTAAACATCTAGAACAAAAAAATTAAAAATGTTCGAAAAATACTAATATGTTTGCAGAGTCCAATATTGTAAAGATACACAAAAAGTCAAATTATTTGCGTCTGTCAATCTTAATTTGTTGGTTTCATTGAACATATTAAAAAGATGTATTTTCAGAAAAACAGGGGTGTAGTGCACTTGCAGCAGAGCGGCAAATTTTACTCTTTTTATAAAACATCCCCGATCTCATGAGTTATGGTATGTGTTACATAAAAGTAAGGAAGCTAAATTTTGTAGTTAAATTTGCTCTTTAGAAAAAATAATCACTTTTTAAAAAAGGAATACTCATTTTTTTTTGTTTTTAATTAATATGCATGGAATTTTCTACTCATATAATCTGAATGTTATAAAAACAAAATATTTACAAGTTAAACAATCTTCCTTCAAGCAGCAGGCAAAGTCATAATAATCAACATTTTGAGATCATAGTAAATACATTAAAAATGTTATACACATTAGTGTAATTTAGTTGCCTTAATTTTTTTTGGTGGTCTTATAGTTGTCATTTATATAAAACAAATTATTAGTACGTACTAAAGGAATGTTAATAATCATATTATTTATTGACATTATATTTAGTGTATCTTAAATTACTTCTTATTTAGATGAAATAAAGGTGACCCACGATTTTAAAATAATTGCCTAATAAGATATAACTAACAAATTGATTGTACTTGGTTCTGAAACTATTTGTATTGTATTATATTGTATAAGATCATACTGTGTGGTGTAGGTGTGAAAGAGTCTACATGTTCAATGACAAGTTGCTACAGAAACGCTCCTATTGTTTTATTATTCAGAAGAATGGTCACTTCGTTAAGTACATAAATATGAGTTACACTTATGAATTTACAAATTTTTAAAATAGTTTTATATTGAGATTTAAAAATTTTCTTTCTTTTCCTTAAAAGTACGAAGCGTCTAAAGTAAAGCCACTTTCAGATCGACGCACCACATCCGCGGCACACTGGACCGATCGCTTCTTTTAGATCACCGTTTACGACGCAAACGTTAACGATCACAATTGACTCTCGGTTATGAATTATCAAAAATTAAACAATCTACATTTCTCTAAGACGACTCTTCACTATGGAGAGCGTAACAAGCTAGAAAGTTTCACTAGAGTTTAATTTAATCACTACGGGAAAGCGTCGAGACTACGATAAGATATGATCAATCACTCATTCGGCGGTAAGGTTCCGTGCGAACATTGTATCGAGATATAGGACGGTTCACGAGAGTGAACTGCGCACACACTGCGCAAAATGCATTGTAGGTCCTGTTGGAGGTGCAAGGTGCGGCGCAGGCAGAATGCGTCAAAACGAAGCGACGCCATTGGTGCGCGCTCGTCGCGTGATAGACTGCTCAGTCGCTATTCGTCTATCGTGGCATTGACGCAGGCAAAAGAGCCATTGACAAGTGTACATGCGCGGGCGGCCGCCATTTGTGGTCATCTTTCGTGAACCGATCTGTATGACGTGTCTAGTTGGAGAGTCAGAGGCGCGGGTCTTGGGGCGTCGCGGCGGCGGCTAGGTGGTCGACGCTGCGGCCCTTCTGGAGTTGCAATGCGCGGTCGGGCTCCAGCGTGAGGTGGTGCGAGGAGGTGCGCTTGTGCCGGTGCTGCGGGGGCTTCAGGTCGCGCGAGCCGGTGCGTCGGTGACGTAGCACACCCGCGCCGCCTTCTATGAGCCGCTTGCTTTCCTCGTCCCCGCACTTGGTGAGCGGCAGCACGGTCAGGTCGAGGCTCTCCATGCTCTTGAGAGCGAGGTGTTTGAGTTGGTCTAGGCTGAGGTCCCTCGAGCCGCTGCGCGAGTGGTGGCGGGCGGTCTCCTCGAGGGAGTGCTGTCGCGCGCGCGGCTCCAGTTGTATGGTCTTGGAGTCGTTGCGCAGATGGCGTGAGGCTACGAGCACGCGCGAGTTGTTGCCGCGTGTCTGCGACCCCTGCGAGTAGGGTAACCGTTTAGTAATTTGTAAAGTCCTCACATTAATTATCCTGTCCTGATATTAGCCTGGCATTACGATATAAGTTCGGTCTTTTTTGTCACAAAATGGAAAGAATATTCTTTGATTTAAATTTTTTAAGCATGTAATTGCTCGATGTTTAAATATAAAGAAAAAGTACTAGAAAAAAAACCACGCGGACCAGGCAGCAGACGGGACTCTAACCCGCACCCTTCGGTATCCGGGCGAATGCATTGACTATAATGCTACCACGACCCTGATGGCCGACCGAACTACCTGCGAGTACTGCGAGTCGCTGCGCTGCCTGGCCTGGGCGCGGCCTCGGCCAACCTGGCCCGCCTTCAGGGGCGTGCACATCGTAAACTGGGGCCGACATGTTGCCCGTTACAGATGGTAACTACCTGCGAGTACTGCGAGTCGGTGCGCTGCAACCAGGCCGAGGTCGCGGCGTCGTAGAGCGCGCCCAGGCCCGCCTTCTAGGGCGTGCTCGCCGTGAACTGGGGCCGGTTGTGTTGCTCGTTACTGATAGTAACTACCTGCGAGGACAGCGGGTCGGTGCGCTGCAGCCTGGCCGAGGCCGCGCCTTCAGGGGCCTGCTCGTCGTGAACTGGGGCCGACATGTTGCCCGTTACAGATGGTAACTACCTGCGAGTACTGCGAGTCGGTGCGCTGCAACCAGGCCGAGGTCGCGGCGTCGTAGAGCGCGCCCAGGCCCGCCTTCTAGGGCGTGCTCGCCGTGAACTGGGGCCGGTTGTGTTGCTCGTTACTGATAGTAACTACCTGCGAGGACAGCGGGTCGGTGCGCTGCAGCCTGGCCGAGGCCGCGCCTTCAGGGGCCTGCTCGTCGTGAACTGGGGCCGGACGTGTTGCCCGTTAGTGATGATAACTACCTGCGAGTACTGTGAGTCGGTGCGCTGTAACCTGGCCGAGGCCGCGGCATCGTAGGGCACGCCTAGGCCCGCCTCCAGGGGCGTGCTCGTCGCCGAACTGGGGTCGGACGTCACGCCCGAACGGAAACCGCTCGCGTTGTCCGCCGACGGCAACTCTTCGAATACTATAACGACAGTTTTAGAGAATTAAACGAAGTCCGTTGTGCGAGTTGGATAAGATAGAAGGGCTAGTTACTACAAAGGTGGTTCACTATAGCTAATTTATGTCTAGTATATAGGCATTTGTCAAAATAGTAAACATGAATTTGGCAAACAAGGAGCGCAAGATTTTAGGGCCTGCGCTACGTTAAGCGAGAACACGGAGCGGACGTCCGTTCTCCGCGTGCAGTTTCATGTCATTTCATAGAACAGCGCTGCGGCCCGCGACTTGTTCCCGCTTAACGCAGCGCAGTCCCTTAAGGGCCGTATTAATAGAACACTGAACTCTGAGAGCAAATCTTGAGTACGATTTTGAGATGCTGTTTCAATACAAAACAGTATCTCAAGATCATACTCAAGATTGCTCTCAGAGTTGAGTGTCCAGAAGTGCAGCGTAGAATATGTGAAAGATATTAAAGTAATGTTAGCTAAAATAACATTTGAAATTCACATTATATGTACTTACATTTATCGAGACTTATGATCGAACCCGCTATATCTTTGTGGGGATCCAGAGGCGCGGCGGTTTCTAAGTTCCTGCGTCTCCGCACCAGCCACCAGTCGGCTAGGAAAATACCTAATGCTACTATCTTTATACCGCCGCAGAGGCCGACGTATCTGAAACAAAATTCGACGTTAGTTATCTCTTGTGTAGTTACAGGTCACATATAATTATATGTGACCTTCAACTTCAACAGTTTATCGCAAAAGTACCTATTAAATTGGAAGATTTTATGTGTCAACTGTACCTTCTAAACCAAACCAAAATGTGCAGCGACCATAGTCAATCGTCAAATTTGAGCATATCTATCAATGTAATTTTGTTTTTTTTTTTTGGCGCGGGGATGTTCCCTGACTGCCGGAATATACGAATTTGATGACATTCTGTTCAAAAGCACTTGCATATATCTAAATTGTTCTATATCGTAGAGCACGCATCATCCTCCCTTCTCGCCGCTGCAGGACTGCTTCCACAGAAGGCAGGTGGAGTCGATGAGGTTGCCGAACACAATCTACCCTTATAGCCGGAATATCACGAATTTGATGACATTCTGTTCATTAGGCACTTACCTATATCTAAATTGTTCTATATCGTAGAGCAGGCATCGTCCTCCTTTCTCGCCGCTACAGGATTGCTTCCACAGAAGGCAGGTGGAGTCGATGAGATTGCCGAATACAATGGGCGCGGGGATGTACCCAAACAGCCGGAATATCACGAATTGCATGCCGAGAGCGAACGACCGCTCTTCCTCGCTTACAGACCTGTTGAGAATGGAAGCATTTTAGTTATTAATCGGTAGTAATAAGAGCATTTTATTTCAAGCGCTTATTTTCATAAATAGACTTTTTCATTAAACGAATATAAAGTGTACTTTTTCATTAAACGAAGTGTGATTTACTGAGTTTAATTAAAAATAAAATTATTGTCGACGTTTCGGATCATTTACAAGTTGCGTTGTCCGAAGGTGAAAATGATCCAATGATGTAATGTCAAGAATAATTAAAAATCAATTAATCGCGCTTCAAACCAGACGGGAGTACGCGAGATTCCTTCCTCCGGGTCATTTCAGTTTTGAGACTCGGCAAAGCGACACCTTACTCGTTAAAAGCCAGACGATATTCCCGCACCGGTCACCCGACATGCGTCCGAGAACCGAAATCCTCAGAGTGCGGACGTGGTCCCTATAAAGATTGGCGATGTCAATTACGTACCTGAGCACGATCATAAGAAAGAAATGTTATGGAAGCATTTTTCTATAACAAAGGCCGCTAAAACATGGTTCAAAACGCATACAACTAAACTTCAATACTAACGCGACACGCACATGAAATAACAGAATATTTTGACCAATCCCATGTGGCATCAGCGTGTTGATGGCAGTTTTTTCGCCCCGCCCACTTGATCGCAGTTTGCGTGGAACCATTTTTAGCGCAGTTCTCAATCATTAATAATTATTTCAAATTTGTTGCACGACGGTCACTTCGCACCGCCTACGCCTGCGCCCGTACAATGCCCGTCTGTATAGGGAGATACCTGAGCACTATCATGAGCAGCGGCATCTGCGTGACGGCCACCACGAAGGTCATGAAGAACAGCAGCACGAGGAAGGGGAAGATGGTGGTGCAGGGCGGGTTGCAGGCGCCGGCCGTGGCCACCGGCACGACGGTCACCTCGCCCCCGAAAGAGTGCCCGGCCGCGCCCGCACCGACTACGCCCGCGCCGGATAGTGCAGCGGCTGAAGCACCGCCTACGACTGCTGCCATTGGCTCGCCCACGTTCTCATGCACGCCTGTATGAAAAGACATCAGTCAATCAACAACCATAGTCTATACATATAATAAAATGGTAGGAAAGTCAAAACTGTACATTAAATATTTTTTAAAATAATACTTGGGGTGTGAAAAATATAGTTTATAGAAGTTTTATCTGTAATTATGTCCGCGATAAACTCAAAAAGTACTGCATGGATTTACTTCAAATTTGGCACGAATATTATTAAGAAGTCGGGTCAACATATAGGCTACATATTATCACGCTGTCACCTACGGGGAACGAGCAGTGAACCTTTATTTCTTCAAAAGTTTGTATGAAAGTCCCATGTTTTGTATGCTCTATAGATGGTGTAGAGGTGTACTACTAATGTATCTTTAGAAAAAAACCCTCTTTTGAGGTCAAAAAGTATGTGCAAATAACTAACTCCACTCGTACAAAGTCGCGGGCGGCCGCTAGTAATATTATAATTGCGAAAGTGTGTCAGTCTGTTACCTCTTCAGGCTTAGATCACTAAACCGATTCAGATGAAATTTGGTACAGAAATAGTTTCGAGTCGCGAGGAAGGACATAGGTCAGATTTTATCCCAGAAATCCCCTTGAAGAAGGGGGAGGCCGCACACCGGCTCCATATAAGGACATCTCGGCAGCTGAACACCAGTATGAAGTGAGGCACACTCACACGCGCAGTTGGTGAAGTTGTACCGCGAGGAGAAGGCGGCGCAGCCCGCGTGGCAGGGCGAGAAGTACGTAAGTCCGTTGTTGCCGCACACTGGCTCCATGTCCGTTTCCGTACAGAGGCAGTTGAAGTTGCACGCCGCCGTCAGATTCACTTTGAACGGCTCCAAGTTGCTGCAAGGAAGGTAGGAAGCTAAAGTCACTCAGTGTTATAGGTAGCGGCTAGCTTTTAGAGCAAAAGCACAGACAAATAAGTTGCGTCGGTATGTAAAATTGTGGAGGATGTACTGCGCAGGCTTCCTTGTCTATGCTCAAGAAGTTTCTCGGGGTGTATACACATTCACCCGTACTCGGGGAAGTCAAATAATTTTAAGTAGGTATTACTAAAGTTGACGCCGCGCCGTCACTTTCATTGCGATAACAAAAGAATGAGAAAACACGTGACTAAATGAAGCATTAAATTAGTTTAACGTTTCTGAGTACAGTTGTAGAGAATGCTTAATGGCTTACACTCGCATGAAATTGACAAGTCTCTAGGAAGCGAGAAAGCAATGGTTAAGCCGATACCTTTACAGTTGAACTAAAATCTTGTTGAACTTTTATGACATTGACTTGGTCACTGTTGGTGAAATAAGGATAAATAGATACGTAAGTAAAATCTCTTCAGTGCGGGAACGTTATAATTTGCAATAACTCGGAAAAGTAATCTAATATATAAAATTCTACTGTCACGGTGTGCGTAATTGAACTACTCCGAAATGGCTCGACCGATTTTATATGCATATTCAGTAGGTCTGAGAATCGGACAATAAAGTTTCATATCGTAAACAATTTATATAAAAAAAGCATTAATGTTAGAACTGGCTATAACCGCTCGGATAGTTTTTGATTCTTAAAAATCATATATTTCGCACATTCATTATATTGCAAAAACTAAACGTTTCCAATTTTATTTGTAATGATTTTATTGATAACCCTTTAATCAACCAGGCAGTAAATGGGTTATCAGGATAAATTAAACTATATAACTTGAGTTATAATGAATGAATAAACACATAACAATATTACTGCAATGCTTCAAGGTCATGGGAGTACTGATAATGGTTGATTGACTTATAAAGTTATGATCCGTATTTGCGGATTTGAGACCCGAGCACGAACTTTGACAGATACGTAATCGTATCGTTCGTCAAATTTTGTATGGAAGGAGCCAGTTTGTTATTACGTCCGGTAGGGGCGCTGCTTAATTTTCATAGAAACTTTGACGCTGTGATACGATTATGGAGTTGTTTAAGTTTGTTTCGGCCTCTGGAACCCAACGATCCGTTTTCGTATTTTGGACGATCCCGTACATATCTACACAGCGCTACAACAGCATCATTCATAGTAAACAATTTATGTAATAACAGTATTGGAAGACAAATTGATACTGACAGCGTCTTTATTATTGTGCACTAGTGCGATATTTGCGGTGAGTTAGCGCTGGTCTTAGCCACCCCTTACCAATATACCACTATTAAATCGATGCATATGTCGTGGCCATATCGTAGATTTGCTCATTTGAAACCATTTCATGAAATGCTCGAGTATTTCATGAAATGGTCGCATTTCATGATGTGGCCAACTTAATTTGAGCAGATCATTAAATCGTCAACGTTTAACGATTTTGTCATCCACATTTGGCCGGATCGTATAATAAGGGTGTCCATAAAATATATAAATATAATAAAAATCCAGAATATGTTAAGAACTTGTTTATTGTCATTTGAGTCCGAATGACACAAACAAATTGAATCATATTTTTGAAGAAAATACACAAATCAAAGATTTTTTTCTAAATTAAATATCAACGTGTCATGTAGTTACACAAATGTAAACGTCATTTACATTTAGAAAACTAACAAATATTTGGAAATAAAAAGGTACTTTGGTACATATTGCAATAGTAGGCTTGATTCTCATCCGTACTTTTTACTTCATCCGCATTTTCCAAAATGTCATATTTTGGCAGCCAGTAATAGTCCATGGATTTCTTTTGCGTAGTCACCCTACTCTCCTTAATTTGTTTCATAACCTAAAAAAGAAAAAACATTACCTTTATTATGTCATAATTCACAAACGAAGAATAATATTAATTTAATAGAAACACAATACGTTAACTGGCATAAAGTATTTTAATAAAATAAGTTATTAATGATGTATTTTAAGAGTAAAGTACTAACCTGTGTAATGCGATCCAACCCACGTTTTTTTTACATTTTACTCAGTTTTTGCTTAACTTGATTAGTACTCGAAAACCCTTTCTTCCTCATTTAATAACAAATTATGCACTTTATCACTGCGAGAAACAACATTGTCGGCAGCGGCCGCCATTTACAAATATAAACAAAGCGCTTGCAGCGCCTCTACCGGTAACTAATTTAACAACTTTACGATATGATCAAATAATTTTGGCCATTTCATGAAGAAGCCGCGCGTTTAGTTGGCCATATCGTGAAACGATTTCTCATCATTGATCTGCCCAAACCACATCATGATGTGGCCAATAGATAGTGAGACATTTCATGGAATGCGACCATTTCATGAAATGAGCAAATCTACGATATGGCCACGACACATACAACACACAGTCAAAATCAGCCTGAGTCGGGATAACATGATCCAATTTAGGTACACATTATAACAATAATCACACAGAATGGAAAATAAATATGCACAGAGAGGTAGTTTAAAAGAAACCTCACCTGTTATTGGTGTAAGGTATGGTGGTGCCGGCCATCTTGATGTTATCGCAGCCGAGGAAGAACAGCAGAGCGTAGCACGAGAGACAAATAGTGTTCGATATGAGGACGAATTGGACCGCTCCCTTGGGTCGTAGCTCTAAACGCTTCAGTAAACAACCACCCATGAAGATGCCGATGCATGCACCGGGGATGGCTATGGAACCTGGACGAAAACGATAACAAAATCGCATCTAAAACACCTAATAACGTATGTATATTTAAGTGCTTAAAGATCCATTTGTAGCAATAACGCAAAATCTCAATTTTACTACTACTATATTTAGCTAATACAATGATGTCAAATTGACATTGACGTTTTGGCATTTTTCTATGGGTTAATTCTAGTTTTAGTAGAATCGAGATTTAGCAAATTTGCTGCAAGTGGGCCTAAATAAGTGATTAAACTAAAAAGGTTGGCGTAGGTTTTTTCGACTACAACGGTTCACTTTAAGGCAATAATTATTGAAAAAATATTGGTCCAATGTAAAGGTAGGAATCGAGATCAACCGATTACTTTAAAATGGTAAAATTATTGTCTCATGATCATTTTGGTAACTTTATTATTGTGTTTCAGGATTTACTTTGGGATACTGAATGTAGTGTAGTGAAATAAAATGGGATTGAACTGCCTAAGAGCGTATTCACACTTTGTCGTGACTATGAATATTTTGTGTGTAGCTTCCTGAATCAAGTAGTTTATGGAACAAGTTTAACATATGGCGCTAGTTGCCAGGCGACATTTAAAATGCCATAGAGGACTCTCTACTCCTAGTATTATTACTTTTCTCTAAGCAGTCGTCCAACAATAAATTTATCGTGATGTATCATAGTGGGAACACGCTCTGAATATTTAATAGGGCATTTAACAACGTTTAGGACGATCTCACGTTATTTACTGATTATGGATTCCATAAAAAGTGAATATTCAACATTCTCTTATGTATTTACAACATAAAATAAAAAACTCTATTTAACGACTTTTCACAAAAGTTATTAATTTATTTACTCTCTTAGAATAGTAAATTCGCTGCTTATATTCATATTAAATACAAATACCAATATTTTGTACTTTATTTTTCATATATAGTTTTAAACTTTCATGGTCAATAACATTATAGCTATTAACGGGGTATCTAGCGCTGTAAAAGACGACGTCAGAGGGTAGACCGATATGTCTGGCAATAACATCTACCCTCAATGACTTCAGTTACTCCGTGATCATGGCGCTTGCAACCGTGTCGAAATATCGGAGACTCATATAAAACAAGGACCATAGTAACAATACCGTTAATAGCTACAATTTATTTTTCATACTGTCAAATAGCCTCTAAAACCTCGATAAACCAAAAAAGTTACCGGTGAACACGCTAGCTTGACTCTTGCCGAGACTGAACTGCGTCTCTAGATACTTAGGCAGGAACACGACGAAGCCGGACACTATCATAAGCTCCATGCACGCGCCGAGGCACGTCACCACGTACACGGGGTTCTTGAGCAGGCGCCACATCGACACCGGTATGTCTGACAAACCGTACAAAATTACGAAAAGTCGAAGGAGATCCAGACCTACATTATCCTCCTCCTCCTCCTCGCGGTAATTACGACTAATAAATTTCTATGATCTCAAAATTATGCTATTGTGTTGTGTAAAATTGGGCCAAACAATAAATACATTTACATAAAAATAATCGTTTAAAGAAGATTATGGCTAATGAATTTCGGACCAATGACATTTGCCCATAAAGAGGGAACCCGTCAAATAAAGTTCTCAAGTTAGAATTTGGCATATCAGTAAGTTTTACTTAACATTTCTTGAGCAGGCGCTACATCGACACCGGTATGTCTGCAAACCGTTACAAAATTACGAAAATGTCGATGGAGATCCAGCCAGACCTACATTATACATAGTTAGCAAGATGACATCTTATTAATATGTATTAGAAATGTGCAAGTTTGTATGTTTGTGTGTTACTCAATCACGCAAAAACTACTAAACGGATTTGAATGAAATTTGGTATGCATATAGTTTAAGGCTTGGATTGAGACATAGGATACTTTTTATCCCGAAGAACAGAAAGGTTCCTGAGGGATTCTGAAAAAAATAAAATTTGCGCGGACGAAGTCGCACGCGTTCGCTAGTATTATAAATGCAAAAGTGTGTCTGTCTGTCTGTTATCGCTTCATGCACAAACGACTCAACTGATTCAGATAAAATTTGGTAAAGAGATAGTTTCGAGTCTCGGGAAAGGACATAAGATAGTTATATTAATGTCAGAAATCACCCTTTAGCTCAATTGTTACTGCCGCGGAATGGATGGAAGCAAATTTTTGCAATCGAATTGTGTATGATATAATGAACTTTGTATATGTCCATTGTATATATAAATTAAATACCTACGAACCAAAAAAAATACGATTTTCGAGAATGCGCGAGAATTTCCTGTAAGACGCGCGACCATTTATTTTTGCAAAACTTCGCTTCCACGACAGTATAATTTGAATGCCTTAAAAGAGCTGAAAAGGGATATAAAAATGGTACGGGAAACCATTTTTCCACTCAGACAAGTGTTAGTGTTATTATATAAATATGTGAATTTATTGTGCCTGCTACTCATGATTTAAAAAAGTAGGTATTTCAATAAAATTATAAAAATAAAAAATCGTTATTGAAATATAAATCAGGATCACGCTGGCTACTGATGTAAGTAAAACTTGTGTATCAGAAGCCAGTAGCTTATTAAGATGACAAGACAAACTTAAGAGGGTATTGTTGAAATTTAACAAAGGAGAAAATAAAGATAATATCCTCTGAATAATAATAATAACTGTAACGAACGTGCCCCACATGTGTGTGTGTTAGCAAGAAAATAATAATTATGCTACACAATAGGCAATAAAATCCAATCTTTTACTATATAAAAAAAGTTTGAAATCCTTTCACAACCGATATGGATGACCGTTTATAGTTTATCAGGTGAAACCATTTTATTTGCTACCGCAAATATAGTCTAAGCTAGATAAACCGGCATGAAAAATATACCTTTAATATCCTTCCCATATCCAGTGTCCTTGATGTCGCTTTGAGGTTTCGGTTTGGCGGTATAGGTACCGCTAGCAGCAGCTGCCTTCTCCACTAGTCTGATCTTCTCTTTTTCTCGCACCAGAACTTTGGGAAATGAGAAGAATGGTATTGCGACCAAGATGAGAAGAAGGCCGCACAGTAAGAAACCGCCCCACCACATGCCCACCCAGCGGTGATCGTCCGGATCTGTAACGAGAAAACTCTTGTTTATTTAGTGACAAGTTAAGTAGAATAATAAAAAATCCCCTTCAGGTTCGAGTGGTCAAGAGTAGGGATGCAAAGTCTTTTGAAATATCGATATTTATATCGAAGTCAGGAAAATATCCATATCCGATATATTGACCATTTTAACTCAATATTGTCGATATATGGATATTTTTTTCTTTTTTTTTATTGACGTTAGAATTCGGGGTGAGTGTGACACATTCATATGTTTGTTGGCGAGTTTCTCGCAAAATGCATTGAGCCAGCTTTTTCGTTAAACACGCTTGATGAAATCGCGCCAAGCAGGATTTTTTTATTGGCTCGCACGGTTTGTGTTTCAGCCACGACAGGAAACCAAAAAATTAAAATTATTATCCTGATCAGATCACTCACATTCGTTAGCACGAATGCGCCAACCCGCATATGTGGGACGACATTTGCGAATGCCTTCGCTAAGTTTTCACTACATTCGTGCTTTTCCAAGCTATGTCGGTTTTTTAGCGCACATCAAATACGCAAATTGCTTAGTCTCCTACACACCAGGGGCGTGCCCACGGCTTCAGAATAGGGTAAGCCCAAAGCTTCCAAAATTACTTTACCTATCTTACTTTCTTGACTTGGCGAGCTTAAAAAATTTACGATTTGTATAAGATTCTTAATTTTATTTTGTGTTATATTACAATGATATTAAATTTCAATTAATCAGTAGTTGATAATTATCTAGAAAGAGAGGCAAGGATTTTATTTAAGTGCATGAGTTCCCATTAGGTATACGATTATACCTATATAAGTTGGTGTCGATTCTAGCATGATTATCTAAACTTAAAACTAAATTTAACATCAGTGTCTCCTTTTCATTCTGTATAGAGAATGACAAGGATACACTGATGTCAAATTTAATTTTAGATTTAAAAAATCATGCCGGAATCCACACCAGTTTAGTATATTTCTTGGGGTTCAATATTTTTTTAATACATATATAAGCTCTTGCGATTTCAAAGCAATAGTTATTTCAATATTATTCAATTTAGGTAAATTAATTGATATTATTGTGTTCAAATTTAGTCTACGAAATATCGATATTTTGGAATTTCCGATATCGATATCAGTGAATTTTAAATATCGATATTTTGGTCTCGATATTATCGATACTATCAATATTCCGATATATCGTTGCAACCCTAGTCAAGAGGCTCCACACGGAGAGGAGAATCTCCCCGTGGGGAGATGCCATCCGCCTGTAATACCTCTATAAGCACTCGCCAATTCTCGGTTTGAGGTCCCCTTAGGATCTCGCCGTCCCCAAACCCGGTGACGCTGTAAAGGTCATCTGCGACCAACAGCATACAAACACGAAAATAATAGTATACCGGTTTTCAAGGAGTCGCCTGCTCTGTTGTCCTGGGTTCGAATCCCGTTAGCGGAAACTGTTTGTATGATGAAAACGAACTTTACCTGATTCTGAGTGAGATATAATATTATAAAATATATTTGTATCTGTTAATCTATTACCCCATAACACGAGCCTCACAGTGCTTACTTTGAGGCTAGGGTACTTTTGGATGAAATTTGGTACGCATATAGTTTGCTGGAACTGGATTGAGACTTTTTATCTCGGAAAAACGTCAGATTCCAGTGCGATTTTCAAAAAACTACAGTAAACGCGGATGAAGTCGCGGACGGCCGCTAGTACTATTAATAACCTAGGTTTACGAATATGATCGACTTTTACATCAGGCTCGATATATGCGCTCGGCTCATCACAAAAACTAATGCCCCTAAAATATCAGGATGTTCACCGTTTGGAACAGATGGCAGGATATCACTGCCGTTGTACAAACAAGGCCATGATTTTAGACACACTTTCCCTTTGATACACTTCCTTCTCCACTACATAATATCCTGACACTTGGCCGTGAACGTACGAACTGGTTGTCAGTTGTAATAAATCTTAGAGGCGGTAAAAAGGAAAAAAAAGAGAAATACAAGTATGCATTACCTATTGATATTATAGTTCCAGAGAAGGAATCCATATGAAATTGCAGAAGATACGCTCCAAGTAAGAAGCCAAGCACTGGTCCAAAAGCTGCCATGCTGTACATACAGCCTGCAAAATATAAAGAAAATGGTGTCAATTCTGGCGTGATTCTCTAAACTTAAAACTAAATTTCAGGTCAGTCTCACCTTTTCATTCTGTATAGAGAAGTCCTTCTCTATAAGGATGCACTGTTGTCAAATTTAAGTTTAGCTTTAGAGAATCATGACAGAATCGACATCTATGTATATCTTAATAAACATTATTATTAGTCTAAACCTAAAATTAAATTTGATAGCAGTTTATTGTTCTTGCTATTCAAAGAATGAAAATGGACTGTGATCAAATTAGGGTCTACCTTGTATCGCAGAACTTTTAATGACATAATATTATTATGCATATCAGCGGATGGCATTAATTTTCTTTCGCTGAAAATCATTTAGCATTTACTTATTTAGCAGACATTCAAACGAGTAATTTTGTAAGCCAGAAACATCTTTCGGCTTGAATTTAATTTCACAATAATTATAAAGCTATTATGGTTTTCATATTATTGCACAAAGTTCACAGTTAGAATCGTCTTTTAGTATTTTATACTTAAATATGTGGTCATATAAAATTATTTAAGTTTATCTTGGTATATTTATCTATTATATCATGTGACTGGCACTTCGCCGGCCGCTATCGCACGCTCGCTCAATGCAGGTCACAACGCTAACCTAACCCACTCTCATAAATGACAAGTTCGGATTGGTAGGTGCTACCGATTGCAGATGCAGTCGGGACCAACGGGCCTTCCGAAGCACGGAAGAGCTCGAGATAATAAGTTTTATTCACCCATCCAATGACCAACCATTGTGAAAGTTGCTTTACTTTCAAGGCCGAATGCGCTATCGAGATAGACATTTAATATTATTTTATTAATACCTGCCAGTACTGTGTAATTACTCATTTGTGTAGTAGGAATAATAAATTAACCCAAATGTAATTTTAAGTGATTTCTTTCTAGTGTGGCTTTTAATGATTCAAGTCATCACAAAACATCTAAATATATAATTATTTTAAAGGCGCATAACCGTCAGATTGTCCGTCAGTGTGTATTTAAATTAATCTATTTAAAATGTCGTTACACCTAATTTTCTGCTTTCCTGTATTGTTTTCCATATAAAAGTGGCACATATTTAATTTAACTTTTTAAGTACGGAAGATATAACCTTCCTCTTATTTACGGTAGGTACAAATAATAATAGCTGAATAATTACCTAATCATTACCAAAACAAGAAGTAACCATTAGTCAGTGAAATAAATCCGTGTACGGTACAGGATTGTATGCAGCAACTGTAACTGGCTTGCAAACATTGCGGACCAAAAGTAGGTCACTATCGCGAACAAAACGGATTTCGCGGCAAACACTGACTAATGGCTCGCCGAACTTGGGACTGGTCGCGTGACAGCTCTACCCGTAAATCCCATTAATTCTTAATTTAATTTGTCATTGTCCTTGAACTCTTGTCAAAACATTTAGAATTAATAGATGGACGTCATTTGTCTCCATCGTTACTTCAATTAAAAGAGTGCTTTAGAATTATCTTAATATATATAAATTAAGCGTCTCGTTGTTTGTCCGGGGTGGACTCCTAAACTACTTAACCGATTTTAATCAAATTTGCGCACCGTGTGCTTTGATCTAACTGGAAAGATAGGATATAAGCTATCCCAACCATCTCAATTTATAGTCACAATATTATTTTATTGCAAATTATTACTTTTGGGCAGTACGAAATTCGCCGATTCAACTAGTTTATTATAAAATATTGTCCATTCCTTTGATATCATAGCTAACCCATATTTATATTAAAACCAGCGGACCCGACAGACGTAATGCCTGATAAAATATAAATAAACATCTTAAAATCTGACTGCAGCGTCACCTAAAGGTAAAAGGTACATAGTTTTGATTTATAAAATAATTTTTTTACGATAAGCAACTTTTTCATAATACAAGAAAACTTTAAAAAACGCTAGATTAAATCGGTATAAAGTCGTCTCAAGTTGCCAAAGAAAATAGGGATTCGCTTTTATATTTATATATGTATTATAAACACAGACGTTGCGGCATTATAGATACACACATCAAAAGTGTCTAGGGATCAACATATATTTTTGCAATAACTTTTCTCCTGATTGATATTAATTAAAATTTTCTTTAAGGATTCATCAAATAAAGTGTTTTCGTTTGTCACAGTAACGATAAACCAAGTCACCTTTGCATTAATAAAGAAATTTGCCATTTTCCTAATAAAGGGATTTTTGACATTTGAACCACTAACACAAAAGTTCGAAAAAAAGACTGAAATAACAGTTTTCTCTAAAATTTTATTGGGTAACTTAAACAATTAATAATCCGTATTTCTACCGCGAACACTAACAACACAAGAACATCGGTTTGGCATACTCAAAATGAGTTCATCCAAATCACGCTGTGGAATGGCCGCCCATGTTCGTTGCAACAACAAAAAAAGGTCTTCTTGCGACTGGATACCCTCCATATTCGGCAGAGCTCTTCTCTGTAGCATATCCCATGCATGCTCAATCGGGTTCAAGTCTGGCGACTGAGCAGGCCAGGGCAGGACATTGATGTTAGCTGCGGCGAGAGTCTGTCTTACAACTCTTGCGGTGTGCGGTCGTGCATTATCATGCATTAACTGAAATAAGGGACCGATTTGCACTTGTAGAGGAACGATGACGTCTGATACAATCGTCTCAGCATAAATTTGAGCGTTGAGGTTGCCTCTGATCCAAATCAACTCAGTTCTTCCGCCGATCCAAATACCCGCCCATACCATGATGGTTCCACCACTATAAGGATGGACTTCCTGGCAGGATTTTAATCGCTGTTGGCGTCCAGGGGTTCTCCAGTGTCGTATACGTCTTGTATCCGGTCTCATACCAAAACGAGACTCATCAGAAAAGCACACGAAACGCCATTGTTCTTCTGCCCAATTTCTGTGTTCAAGAGCCCATTGATATCGAATCCTACGATTGTGCATTGCTATAGGTGGTACCCGTAGCGGTCTTCGGGAATGAAGGTTCACTTCATGCAAGCGGTTTCTGACTGTTTGGTCGCTAATTAAGTTCCCTGAAGAGTGATGAAGCCTCACGGCTAACATCATGGCGGTTATTGTTGGAGCTCTTCGAGTTAAGATTTGAATGTATCGGTCTTGTCTCCGTGTGGTGCAGCGATACCGTCCTCCATGGCGCTCAGCCACGGTACCAGTGCTTCGGTATCGTGTCCAAAGTCGACTGATAACACTCTGACTTGTATTCAGAGCTAAAGCCACAGTACGTTGCCGGGAACCAGCTTCTATCATTCCCACGGCTCTGAGCATTTCTTCCCTGCTTAAATGACGTCGCCGCTCCATAATAACGTTGGTTTTAATCAGTAGTAGGGAAACAGTAGCACTAATAATGTCTTCAATGCGTTGTATGTTTTTATAGGGAAAATATTGACAGCTGATTTTCATCTTTTACTCGAATTTGATTCACAGTTCCTGATTCAAATTATGAAATGCACCAAAAAGGATCCATATAAATTTATAAAATCATAAATTTATTACAAAGCCACATCTCAATCTCAAGAAATCCGCATAAAAATGCTTGATCCCTAGACACTTTTGATGTGTGTATGTATAAATTGAACCATCTATCAAAATAAAGGTTTTATTTTCATAGACTAATACAAACACTGCACCAAAATTGTTTTAAGTAGGTATTATCGTCATAAACAATATCAACACCTTGATTAATTTTTTTTAGTTACTTTTAAATAGGTAAATAAATAGTCAATTCACACGCAGAGTATAAATAAATATTTCTAAGGGATACGAATAAATAGAATCATCCTTGAGTTTTCACTGGGGGTGAATGTAGGCGGAAGCAGATCAGTCTGTCTCGAGGGCCCTTAGTCGGATATGCCCTTAGTGGGGGCTACGAGAGCCATCGAAACACTCTTTAATCTCTTCAGCAATCGCATCAAGGAGGTCACACCTGAATCTAATTTATTTGCTAGGCTTCATAAGGTGTTAGTGAACGCGGTGTTTCATACAACACAAAGGTGCATTAAAATTATCATCTTTTGTCTCTATACCAACATTCTTAACAGCATTTACTAATTTCACCACCAGAGCATTTAGAATCTCGCATAATTATCGTAACACGTTCCCAAAGATTGACGTGTTTTTCTAGACTGAAATCTAAACATAGTCCCGAGCGTTTGCAGGCAGCAAAAATAACTTCACAAAGAAATGCGTGTCACATATGCAACAGAAAAGTCGCACAGCTGCTTCCTGAACATATTTACAAATTAACGTCTTAGGCACATCGCGCACTAGACGGCCGCAACCCGCACCGACCAGATTGATTAATTAAAGAAACCATACGAACGCCGCGCATTTGGCCGCAACTTCAGTTAATCTGGGTTGTTGCGGCCTATGCTCGTTGTCGTGGTCATCTAGTGTCCGAGGTGTCTAAATGTCTTGATATAGATTTATTTTCATAATATTCTTCTACAATGGGTAGCAAATATCAAGGAAAGTTTTAGAAAATTTACTTAATAAAGTTTTCGTGTCTGAATGCTAGGTATGTAAATGAAATCATAAAAGTACAAAAGAAAGACTTCGAAGCACAAAAAATTGCAGCTCAACCAATCTTGTTGCCTCCATCTAACCATGGTTTTACAACATAGTTACACACTAGTTTGGAGCTATGTATCGTAGTCGTAAAGAGAGCAGTCAACCTGTGTAAATAACCAATAAAGATTTCATTGCAAACAAAAACGTGTAATGTACCCGAGTGGCGAGTGCATGGGCTCAAACAAACTATGTAGATACTGTAGAATGAGAAATAGGAGCTATTATGCAATTTCACATGTATTTTATACAAAACGGTTAAGGTCATTTCACCCACACTTTAGTATAGGTTAACAGAATATGAAGGATAAATTATTTACGCACAGAGGGTGACATAATCAATTAAACCTAAATCAGGTAGGTAGGTACGTTAATCATCTTTA